CACTGAAAACATTGACACAAAATAAAGCTCTAGTGATTGATGGAATGCAAATGGACTGATGCAGCATGGAGGTGCTCACTTGTCTATGCCAAGAAATTTGGACGACAGCTACTTGGCCAGTCAATTAGAAGAGATCCTTATTTGTGCCCATTCAAAGAAAAGTGATCCAATGGAATGTGAAAATAATCTAACAGTATTATTAATGTTACATGCAAGTAAAATTTTGCTGAAGAAGATCATTCAAAAGTGGTAGCAGTAGTGCATCCACAAGGAACTGCCAGAAAATCAAGCGTTTTTCACAAGAGTACCTGTTGTTGCTGATGTTGTTAGGTGCTGTAGAGTTGGTGTCTATTCATAGGGATCCTGTATAGGGTTTCTGAGACTGCAAATATTTACAGGAGCAGAAAGGCTGGACTTTCTCCCAAGGAGCAACTGGTGGATTCCAACCACCAACTCTGCAGTTAACCCAATGCATAGCCCAATACACCACTAGGGCTTAGAAAAGGACATGGAATGGAGAATATAATTTCTGATGTTAAATGGACCTTGGCTAAAATCAGACAACACAGAAAGATGTATGTTTGTGCTTAATGACTATGCAAAGGCATTAGACTGTGTGGGTCATAACAAACAATGGATAATAACCGCAAAAAATTCAAATTCCAGAACACTTCATTTTGCTCATGAGAAACTTGTACATAGAAGAGGAGGAATTTGTTTGAACAAAATGGTTCAAAATCAGGAAAGGTATGTGCCAGGGTTGTAAATTCAGTCACCACACTTATTCAATCTGCATGCTAAGCAAAGAATCACAGGAGTTGGATTATATGAAGAAGAATGTGGCATCAGGACTGGAAGAAGACTCATTAACAACCTGTTATATGCAGATGACACAACCTTGCTTGCTGAAAGTGAAGAGGACTTAAAATACTTACTGATAAAGTTCAAAGACCACAGTATGGATTGCACCTCAATATAAAGAAAACAAAAATCCTCACAACTAGACCAAAATACAGCATCATG